GGTTGAGAAGAAAGTTCATTTTTCCAATTGCAAAATCCAGAGATTCCCGGATCGTTGAGGATCGACCGTCGTGATTAGATTGGGGGAATCGCGATGGGGATCCTGGGTCTGGTGGCCGTGCCAGATGAAACAATTTTGAATGCTGTATTGCCCTATTGGCGCCGGACAACGCACATTACGCATGGTGACAAACTTGGCTCTCCAGATTATTTCTCCTGGCGCTCTCGCAGCTCCCCGACGGAGCACCTCGGCGAGGGGAAACGGGTTCTGTCTGAACGCTGACACGAGACCGTCCTGGCACGGTCCACCCAGTGCTCGAAATGGGGTTGGACGTGGCGTGGTAGCATCCCGGCGGGGTTGCATCCCGGCGGGGCAGTTTGGACTCGGGCCATCCTCAGGATTAAAGCCGTCAGGGATTGCCCGCGAAATCAGGGAATCGGATAACGTTAAGGCCATCGCACACTTAGCAGGTGATGCTTGCGACTTCGACATGCATGCGGCATGCGTCTGCATTTATGCCCACACGCCTTCGCAAGAATAAAGGAATCGCAATCACTGTTTTCAATGGGGTTTTCTATTATTGATATGTCTTTTAAGGCAATTACTCCCACGCCTCTAAGACGAGATGAACGGTAGAGCCATGTATATATATTACTGTGGATAGACTAGCACCTAATTTTTCTAAGCGGCGCATGCACCTCGTTTTGCACAGAAAGCGTTGGAAACTCATCACGCGTAACAGGCCTTGGCAACCCGGAGCGGCCGTGTTGCACGCCCCGCCCATAGCTCCGCGTCTGCAAGCATGACCAGAGCCTTCCCGGGCATGCGCACTGTATTCAAGTCGCGGGTCGGTCGTCTCGGACTGACGCGAGTCACGTTGTTTGGGTCGGGTTTTCATACGCACTTCCGGCCTACTCTTCCTCATTCTGGTGAGACCCATCAGCGCACCAGCAATGTTCGTGGACCTCGATGATTCCTTTCCCGGTTCGATGTCAAAGGCCAATTGACCCATCATTCTCCAAAATAGGTTGACTTTCTCTCTTTCGGCCCAACATAGAAGGAATGCGGCTCTCTGGGTATGTGTTTATCGCTAGTTCTGAGGTTAGTGCGCGCTTGGGTTTAGTGAAAACCCACGAAAGCTTTTGGAACGCTAGTCTGAGTCTCTAGCTTCGGAGTGATTACATGATTCAGTGAGTGAATACGGAGGCAGCAATGACGCTTACTGTTAAAACGAAAACGGGCGTTCTCGGCCTCCATTCAACATGGCTGCCCCCAGCGTGGGGAATAATAGTAAAGGTGGTGTTTTTCTTGACAATTTTGTCCCTATATCTGTGGAATGACCTAAATGCGTGAGGGAACAAGCAAGGGAACACGCGCGTTCCCTTGCGTCCGGACGCATGCAGACGTGTGTCGAAATCGCACGTCAAGTGTGAAACGGCCTTTACTCTCTCTCTCTACTCTTACTCTTAACTCTTAACAGGGTACGTACGGTGCCTAGCTTTCCTTGTCCCAGTTGGAACTGGCGAGACTCTGGGGGTGTGTCTGCGGGACAGGAAAAAGACCCCCCTCCCCCTTCTTATATTAAGATCAACTTCCAGGTATTTTTAATCCTTAGTGGAATGCAACTTCCACCTACGAGTCATTTTTCTCCTTCCATCTTCCACGAAGGTCGACGAGACAAAATATTCAATTAGGATGACCTCGCATGACCTCGGCACGGAACGGAAAGCGAATTTTCTCTTCAAACTGCTTTCGTTTGTCCGTTCTTCATTGCAGCTGAATTAGGGTTTTTTTTTTTGCCCGTTCTTTTTGTTGTCGCTGCCGACATCAACTGAAGTAAATTGGTGGAAAGACGCAGGCAAGGGCTCGCGTGGATCTCGGCTTGCTTTTATCTTGAAAAAACCTTTTTTATTTTTAAAATAAAAAGTTTTTTTTTCAATAAAATGGGGAAATAGGATGGGCGATTTGTATCGTATTGTAAGACTAGGAGGAAATTTGTTCAATTATTTAATTGATTGATGGAAATCTTTCTTTTGGAATCCCCTCAGGTAGAGAGAGATGCGAGATTTCCTTCCCCAGAGTTCCATCCACTCGTTCTAACCAAACCTTTTAGGGACACTTTTTTCCATTTTCTTTTTTTGCATCGAAAGAAGATCGAAAGGATGGGTGGACGCGGTGTGAAGCAAGTACCGGCGTTCTTCAAGTACACGCTGTTCGCCTTCAACCTCATCATCTTGGTGAGTGCGTGGTCTCCTTCGGTGGGTCTGTTCATTGGGCTTTCGCGAACGATTGCGTGCGAGGGTCCACCGCGGCTCAACGACTTAAATTGGGAACTGGTCGCTCTCAGAGCAGAGAAGGGATGGGGAGTTCAGTCCTGGACACTCGATTCACTCGAAAGGCTAATAAAGGGGGGCGAGGGGGCGGGGGTGAGGGGGCTCATCAAGGCTCGGAGGTTGTCAATGATTATGTAAAGCTAGAAGTTATGATTGTGGTTGAAGAATGACATGTTTACATTAATGGGAATGAAATGAGCCAAATGAATCTTCTCATAGATGAGACGCTGGCTCTCGCGTGGGAAGTCAAAAGAGAAGCAATGCTCACCACCAAGCATTGATGAGATAAGGGATAGGATGAACATCCAAGCAAACGAGCTCATGCATGAGTCTTGCAGAAACCACTACATTTAAATTGGGATCTATGGAGCACTGTGATATGATGCCGAGTGAAGTAGAGTGTCCGCAAAATTAAAAGGTTGAACAAAGAGCTGTCCATCTGTGGATGCGTCTCCTCGATAATCGTGCATTGTACCTGGCTGCAACTGGTAAACATGTGCCGACGGCAGACTTCCAACTGGGGATTTTAAGACGGCCGATGGAATCGGTTAGACACGACAGGCAAAGAAAGGAAGGCCCTCATTCGTCCCTGTCACAGCGGGAAGAGATTGGGAGGTGGGGAGGGCTTATACCGGTAGGTGTCAACTTTCTTGGCAGTGACTATTCACTGCTCGTGGAGAAAAGGAAAGTGTTAGTACAACACAATATCACTAGAGACCAGCAGCAGGACGTAAACTCTGGTAAGTTTAATCGTTTGCAAACATTCATGAAATAGTCCAAAAGTAAGGAAACCTATTGAAAGTTTGCATTCGGGGTGCGGCCGGCCGTTAAAAATTCGGCACACTCGACGAAGGTTAGCAGCAGATCGAGGGGAAATTTTCTTTTTCGAGTTATTTTTGAAAACGATTCGCGGTTCTTTGAACGTCGACCGTCGCGGTAGATCGGGGGCATCATCTTGGCGATCGTGGGGGTGGTGGCCGTGACGGATGAGAGATTGCTGAACGGCATGGAATTCGCAAACGACCCAACGATGAGAGCTGGCGCCATCTTCGCGATCGTCGTCGGCATCGTCACCGTCTTCTTCTCGTTCCTCGGATGCTGCGGGGCCCTCAGGGAATCCTCGTGCCTCCTCATCACCGTACGCTGAGAGAAAGTAATCTCGTAAGAAAAAGCGTTAAGATGCTTTTTCTCACGTTTTCTCCTCGTTTTCGCAGTACGCCGTGCTGACGTCCCTGGCCCTGATGGGGGTCGGGGCGGTGTCCATCGTCGCGTTCCTCTTCGAGTCGGTCGTCGGGGACAGTATGATGCAGGCCCTCGTCGACGGCATGGGTGAATACGACGAGGGTGAAAACGGGAACTACAACACTGTCGCCTGGGACACCCTGCAGCAAATGGTGAGCGCGCTGGAACTTTTAGTGACTCGTTCCGTTAAATAATGACTTTCGCATCGAGGGAGGATCATCTCGTATGTAGAGGAAAACCGTGCAAGAACCCTTCTATAGGCAATCGAAGAAAAGGGTTCGATGTCTTGGGATAAATATTGAAATGGTGGAACGATGAGAAAATCCGACTTTTGCCTCTCCAAAGATTCCCAATTGCCATACTACAATGACGTTTTGAAGTATGGCCTCCATTTTAAGCCAATAACTTTGGAATTGTTTTTTTTTTTTTGAAGGGTTACTTTGATGTAATGAATTTGAATGATTTATTCGGTGCCAATCGCCGACGCTTACGTTATCGAAATCTTGCTTGATTGCACGAACAGGGCCAGTGCTGTGGAATCGACGGTCCCGAGGACTGGGGCCAGCGCAAACCGTTCAGCGACGATGGAGCGGTGCCGAAGAGCTGCTGCAAGGACGTGCTCAAGGTGACTGTCGCTCTCGGCTTCCAAAGATGCTTCCATCTTTTTCTTTTTTCTTGGTGGGCGAGGATTGGCGGTTTCGGATGAAAACGGGCTGATCGTGTCCTTCGTTTTGCAGTGCATCAGGGAGCAAAGCAGCGACGACATCAACCGCGCTGGTTGCAAGATGGTCTTCCTGAAACTGGAAGAATACGCAGGGACTCTGGCCATCGTCGCCCTCGTCTTCTCCATCCTCATGGTTAGCTTCCATCCTTCGCTTTCGATTTTCCTGTCCTCGTCGCGCAAAAATGACCAGTCTGCGCTCGCTCTCCTGTCTAGCTGCTGGTCGTGATATTCGCTTGCATCGTGGGGTGCGCTTCGGTAGCTCCTGCTTCACCGTCCATATACTCTCTGCCCATTATACGTGAGGTATCGAAAAAGTAGCAGGGAAAAAAGGAAAAGGTCTTCTGTCGCCGTCATAATGAAATGGTCTGATTCGTGATTCTCTTGTGCTTGGAAATTAGGATTTGTCCTTTTGAAGTTCGTGGTTCCATTGGGCTCCGAAACAGGGAAAACGAATCATGAGATATTATTCGCCCGAGTTTGTCTTACTCCTTCGGGTAGGAATTCCCTTCGAAATGGAATGAATGCGAAACGCGGCATAATTCGACTTTTGCGGATGGATTTCTCCTCACATGTCCTGGATTACACTTTTGATCTGATCTTTTTATTTTTAAATCGGTCGCTTATATTAGAATGCAAATAATAGATTCCAGTCAGTCACTTCCTTGCTTGAGGAGTTCCTGAAATGGATTGTATTTATGGACAATAAATCCCTTTTCTTCCCTCGTTGCCTCTTTCTGGCCCGTCCTCAGCCGAAGAAGACCCAACACCAAAACACGACAAATATCGATGGACCTCGCAGCGGAAGGACCTAGCGTTGCAGGCGACAATGTCGCCTGCAACGCTGAGTCCTAACGTCGACGAGTCGAAAATGTTGTCTTAACGGCGGCGAACCTCTGTTATTTCCGATTCACTCTCCCTTGAAAATGTCTTTCTTTCTCTCGAGAAGAAATAATTCAAATAATCATACATATCTACAATGGCCTTACCTTGTATATGGACAACTGGTACACAAGTCCAGCATTGCTCTCTTACTAGGAAGACTTGTGCTTGTGAGAAGAGGTTGTGGGTTGGGCTGGTATGATTAAATTCACCAAAATGCTGGAAAGAAGGGACAGGGACCTCACAGATGAGACGCCGGCTCTCGCGTGGAAAGTTAAAAGCAATGCTCACGACCAAACATTGAGAAAGTAACATTGATAAGGGACGCGGTTGAGCCACCTTGCAAAAGAGCATATTTATGAGTCTGTGGAGCACTGTGATATGATGCCGAGTGAAAGTGCAGCTTTTTGTCTCTCCATCTGTAGATTTGTCTCCCCTCGATAATCGTGCATTGTACCCGGTTACATCTGGTGAGCATGTGCCAACGGCAGACTTCCAATTGGAGATCGTAAGACGGCTGATCACACAATCAGGCAGGACAGGCAAAGGAAGGAAGGTCCTCATCGAGTCAACCACGCGCCACAGGTCTCCCACGAAACTGTTCTCTTCAATGGAACTATTTTTAAAATTCGCCAAAACTTTCAACAATTCAAGCTGTAAGGTTATGGGTATGATTATGAAGGGCCATATTTACCCAATGGCCATGTACCCCCAAGTTACCTTCCTCGAAATTGAACGATTCATCGGATATTACAAAGCCACGGAAGAAAGGGACAATTGTGGTACTCTCGCTGCTCCCGGACGGAGCATAATCGCTGGCGGAAACTGGTTCAGTCCGAGTCGTGGCGTCAGATCCTCAGGGCATCCTTCGAAATGAGCAAGAACCAGGCGGAATGGCGAGACTGAGTGTTCAGTTGCGCCATCCCCAAAGTTGGAGCTGTCGGAGAATGCTAGCGAATTTAAGGAATCTTCTGTAATTTCGCGCCGATGAGGCTCCCAAATTGGACCCGCATGAACGCATCCGTTCTTTGCAGATTGCTCGAGTGATTGGCTGCTTTACTTGGGGTTCTTGTCACCGTCGGCTTCAACGCAATATTGTTGACAGGAATATTTAATGCTACATGCTTTTGGAGCAGTAAACAGGATAGATAGCAGAAGACTGCCCGGAGATGGCGCGGAAGCATCTCGGTATATATGTCTAATTTATGTAAATTGTCATAAGTATGGATAGATCTATAGTACCAGTCGATCCAACATAAAACGGAACGTGAAGGATGCCGTAAGATTATGCAAAAGTAAGCGGTGAAGTTAGTTAGTGGGGAGGAAATGCGGTATACAGGTGAGTTAGGCACTGGGAAGAGGAGTGACCTAGAAGGGTCTCTAGCAAGCAAAGGTCAACGACCTACGACAATCCTAACAGTCCCCAACGACCAAGAGAAAGCGACCAGTCTCGAAACAGGGCCCATCCTACACCCGAAAGAAGCGACTTTCCCCTAAAAATCCCGAATCCTTCCCCCATCGACCTCCAATTACCTTCAGTCCAATTTGAGTTTAAGCCAGGACCCTGCTCCCCTGTGAGCGGGCTGCTTTGTCCCCAGCCGACCGTCCACTAACCTCAAGCACGGCGAGCGGCAGCATCGATGACTCCCGACTTCGTCTTATACGACCTATGGCCTTACCCGCGTTGACCAGCGGACCTAGATCCCACCGACACCAGTCCCTCGGGAAGCGTCATCCCTTATGTCTTCCCTCATTAAGAATCAGTGACCTCCGAGACCCTAAGGGAGACGACGACAAGCGACCTCCCGCCCATCGAAAGACAGCGACATCTATCCGACATCTCGTCTAACTACCGCCAGTGGCCCAGAACTCATAATGGACTAGCTGACCCCAACGGCTGACTTACTTTAGTGTGAGCTATCGAGAGAGAGAAATAACTTCATGCTTGGTACTATTTACCTACGTGTTCTTTTTAAGATACGAGACACGAAAATAAGAGGAAACGGGAAGGCTCGGCCCTCGATAACATCATTCTCACTTTCTTCAGAGGAAAATTTACCTGCATTCAAAATCCGTGCCTGGAAGTTGCTTAGAGTACCTCCAGCTACTGTCCTAAAGCGTTGCAAGAGGAAATCGGTAGCGTATTTTGTTTTGTGCAGTTCTACAGTGCATCTCCGTCCGTGAGATGCGTATAAACAGATCACGGGTGATCTCTTGCTGCCTCGAATGCCGAAGGAAAGGAATCCAAGCTTGAACCTATCCAAGGATAGGTCCCGAGCTGTGCGGCCTTGATATGCAGGATGCGTCCATGTGTGTCCCCTAATCGAGACGGATATATTACCAAGTTTCGGATCGTGCGACAAATTGACAACACTTCTTGAAAACCGTAGGCAAAGACGGAAAAATACGCTTTTCGGAACGTTATTGCGGGACACGGGAAAATCTTTTCCGTATTACTACTAAATTATTTTCCGAAGGCTTCAGGGTCAATAAAAGGCCTAAAAAGCATATGCCAGTTTCTCTATCATTGGCGTCATTAATGGACGAGTTAGTTCTTCCCTTCAGACACGGCGGCGGCACATGGGGTTGGTTCTCGATTCCTCCAGGATACACCGTCAGCGACAGGATTCTCAGACAATCCAGTCCAGGAATGGCGACAGCAACGGGGTCCTCGGTTCGTCATACCCTCCAGAGCACCCTCTTAGGAAGTTCTTGCCACCTCAAATCTCAGCAACTCCACTAACTTTAAACATCGAACATTCACCACGATCTCCCCAACAATGAACAAGGCCAAGGACTTACCCTTCGGTCGTGATCGAGTCGACGCCAACTGATGATGAAGGAGACCAAGTCGGGACTACTCTGGTTTTCTGCTTGGAACAGCTTTTATACCCTCCCTTTCCTCCCTGGATGTAGTGATCGACCTTGACACTCCCCCTTCCCATGCAGATATCCATCTCCCCTTCTTCCGGCCTCCTTTCCACCTTCCCCCTTGCACCAATCAGGAGTCCGTTGGAGAAAGAATTCCTTCCCTCTCGTCTCTCACCGTCTCTTCAAAGCACGCGATGCCGATTTCCTTTGCACGACAGTCAATTTTCCCCACTTAGTGAAATGATTCATAATTAGCTCCTCGTACTGAACGACTCCGGTCTGTTAGCCAGATCGGACGAGGAAGAATCCATTGAACTCTGCATGGTCCTGTTCATCAACTTCGATTTGTCTTTCCTTCCTCGTTTAAGCTTTCCTTCCTCTTCTACCTTTCGTCCTCATCATTTCATTTACCTCGCCCTCGCTGCATTTAAATCCTCAATTCAAATGAAAATACAATTTCCAAATTACTTAGAAATTTAGACTGATGGAATGACACAGAATGACGGATGTCAACGTTTCTGATACGGTCGGAGAATACTGATCGCAGCATGTCGCAGCACTATCTCGTTCTTTCGTTCATCTCACAAAGTCATCTCAACGCTTTGCTCGCTCCATATCAAATGGGTCTGGACTTTAGGACGTATTTTAGAGAGCTTGAATTCCCGGTGCTAAAAAGTAATGTGAAATGTTTCAGGAGAAACGTATTCTCATGCTGACGAAAGAGAAGGCCCTCATTAAATATCTTTGAATTTCTCGAAAATATATTTGGAAATCCGAAGGAATCACAACACACTGAGACCAAAGGAACCGAAAATTGGGGGGGGGGGGGCAAATTTGCAGCAGGGCTGCCCGTGTTGGGCATAGTCTCTTGCTATACGGCAGCCAACATTTGCCCTATTTGTGTGGTTGTCATCTATCTTTGTTGTTCGAAGAAGCAAGGTTCCGGGTGGTTATGCGAGATGTTGCCAAAGTAGGCATTTTCAAAGATTTCATGGAATGGAATTGCAGGTCTCATAGGTCTGCGTAGGAATCACTCGATAGAATTGGCAATTTTGGGACACGGCATCCTTTGAAAATCCTTCAGTGAAAATATGCTGTTTGAAATGATAATTCTGCACTTGTTGCTTCGACCAGAATTTTTTTTAAATCATAACGAATCATTTCACACCCTGGCGAGATTTTCTCCCGTCGTGCGAGTGGAATGGAGGCCTCTTCACCTTCCATCAACATGCATCAGAATTCAGGGTCAGGCACCGGCATGGGAATTACGAATTTAAAAAAATACGCATTGGAATGTGTATTTTTTTTTAATTCGTCATCGAGAACGACAGAAATGTAAAACCGGCTATGTCGATTCGGAGTCCGGAATGTATCGGAAGGAAACCACTCGAGAAGATATAGGGGAATTTGGACCAGATCGCAATACAAAATCTCATTGATTCCGTGTGAAACGAAGCAAGTGCTTTTCGTGATCCGTCCACCAGTGTTGCCGGATACCGTGCCGAAATTATGCCGGATTCAAGACTGTTTCAACCTTCGTATTGGCGTCTGGATCTTCTGTTTTTTATTGTATGATACTTTTGTGCTGAGGTCATGAGTTGAGCTGAGAATGAAGCGGTTGAATGCAGTTATTGATCGATGCAGAGGGATATGCAGATATATTAACCGGACATCCCTGAATAAACAGGATGGCGCGTACCATGGATTCCAAGCATGCCCTCCTCGGACCTATTCGAGATGGTTCGAGGAACTCCAGATAGGCCTAACCTTCCACGGCCGACTGAAATGAATTCGTGATAGTATGAGTCGGCTTGGACCGCGTCACCGTGGCTCATAGGAGAGGGGCTCGGGCTAGTACGCGGGAGGGAGCACGATTTGGCCTTATAGGCCTAATTGGCGCCGTAAGTCGAGAATTGAATTTCCTTTGAAAAGAAAAAGGGCTTTGGCATGAGGATCAGTATTCTCCGACCACATCAGAAACGTTGACATCCGTCATTCTGTGTCATTCCATCAGTCTAAATTTCAAAGTAATTTGGAAATTGTATTTTCATTTGAATTGAGGATTTAAATGCAGCAAAGGCGAGGTGAATGAAATAATGAGGACGAAAGGTAGAAGAGGAAGGAAAGCTTAAACGAGGAAGGAAAGAGGAATCGGAGGCGATGAACAGGACCATGCAGAGTTCATGCTGGATGAAATTGCTGAGTTAAATGGATTTCTCTTCGTCCGATCTGGCTAACCCCTGTTCCATGGCGAACAGGCAGGAGTCGTTCAATACGAGGAGCTAATTATGACTCATTTCACTAAGTGAGGAAAATTGACTGTCGTGCAAAGGAAATCGGCATCGCCTGCTTTGAAGAGACGTGAGAGACGTGAGAGACGAGAAGGAAGGAATTCCTTCGCCAACGGACTCCTGATTGGTGAAAGGGGGAAGGTGGAAAGGAGGCCGGAAGAAGGGGAGATGGATATCTGCATGGGAAGGGGGAGTGTCAAGGTCGACCACTGCATCCAAGGAGGAAAGGGAGGGTATAAAAGCTGTTCCAAGCAGAAATTCCGAGTAGTTCCGACGAGGTCTCAGTCATCACCGGTTGGCATCGACTTCATCACCACCGAAGGTAAGTCCTTGGCCTACTTTCATTGTTGAGAATATGTATCGAGTGTGTGATTAAATGGCGACTTCACGATGTTTAAAGTCACCCAGTGGAGTTGCTAGGAAGACCAAAGGAGGAGAGAACCCATTTCTTGAGAGGACCTCTGGAGGGTACGACAAAGTGAAGGCGTTGCTGGCGTCATTTCTGGAGAGGATGGGGAACGGGGAACCCCTGACCCTCGTCAACTCCCTGGAGGCCATGACGATCTGAAGATCCTGCGGCAATGTCGTTAATACCCAGAGCCACTTGAAGCCAAGACGCCAAGCGATACGAAGGGTATGGGCTGCTGCTTTTCCTTTACGGTTATGATCCTTTTATCTTCTTTAGTAATCTTCGTCACTTCTGAAAATTTATGCAATTAGGAACAGTGTCTGTTTAATTTTTGGAGCAAACATTTCTCATTTGTAAAGCACAAAGGGGCGTTGATAACTATCGAACTATCAATGATCGCGTTCTTTGTAATACGTTTTTTTGGTTTCAAATAGTCGAGAAGACTCAGGACTGTTGCTGACCTTGCCTTTTGGGAAAAGGTTGTATAAAAAGTTTCATGAAAGAATTTTATGCTTTTCACGGCATAAAGAATTCGGGAAGTACCAAAACGAACTCCAACATCTCCAATTCCACTCATTCATCTCATCAGAAAAATTCCATGTCTTTCCTTTATTTAATCCTTACAAGATTTTCTTTTCTGGTTTCATTCACTAAGCTACGGAAGATAGCTTGAAGTGCTCTCGTGTCTCCCGGACGGAGCGTATTGGCTGGCGGAATCTGATTCAGTCCGAGTCGTGGCGCCAGATCTTCGGGGCATGGGCCGGAAAGGCGCGGGGCGAGGCGGAATGGCAAGACAAGAATGGCATGGGCGTGGCAGTTCTTTATCATGGTCGGATTAGGGTCTCGCTTGAATTCTGGATTGACGCGGGGCGTCGCAAAATGCACTTTGTCCTATTTCAACCTTCAGTTTGAAGGGATAGAATTTGCTTCGAGGTGGAAAGCGCAGAAGCCGTTTTCACGCCGTAGCCCCGATCTTGAGGACAAATGAGCAGGTTGAGAAGAAAGTTCATTTTTCCAATTGCAAAATCCAGAGATTCCCGGATCGTTGAGGATCGACCGTCGTGATTAGATTGGGGGAATCGCGATGGGGATCCTGGGTCTGGTGGCCGTGCCAGATGTAACAATTTTGAATGCTGTATTGCCCTATTGGCGCCGGAAAACGCACGAGGCCGACGCATGGTGACACACTTGGCTGATGCAAAAAAAAAATTAATGGATGGGAGGGGCACGGTCCAGTCCTCAAAAAATCATTTTGAGACCCACTCTCTGCGATGACGAATGGTCGCTATCGTTTTCCACGGCTTTCCGACGATAGCGGAAATTCCATCGTTCCGTTTCCGACTCGGGTTTTTCAGGGTGAAGCATTCGGACTGCATGTACGAATCGAGTGTTTCCCTTTCTTCGATTTTCACCGTTCGCGATTCCAGGATGCGAGTGGCCGATATTTGGGACACTCGTATAATTTCCAGGTATTTTGTTCCTTTTTCCGGATTTTGAAGCCCTCCAGCTCCTCGCTTAGCGAGGTCATTCGTCGCACGGTCGCCTACGTCGATGCGTGCGCTTCGTCGTTGCATTATGAGGGGAACGCTGAGAGAAAAAGCGAAACTTCTCGAAATACCTTAAGGTGGGTATTATCGTTTGTGAAATTCTTTGGTCACTGCTACACACCTGTACGGTCCCAGGTTCTGCAGTTCGTCGTTCGAAGAGAGGAAAGAGTGGAAAGAGAGCGATCGCTCTAGGAAGGAAGGGCCGATTGCGCGATGTTTCCCTGGTGTGTCTCGAAAATCATTGATTAACCCATGTTTATGGGCGAAAATGGATTGCACGGTCATCTTCCTTTAACCATCGTCTTAATCATGGACTAGCAGAGGCCGAAAAATGTGGAATTTCCAGATGGGGCATGTTTTGCCGATATCAGCGATATGCTCTCGTCGTCGCAAATAAACATCGGTTGTTGGCCTTATCCCTAAGAAAAATATATATGTGGACGATAACCTCCTCATGAGATACCGTTTTGGAAAGAGATTGGTGAATGGTTTCGACCTGAACTCGAAAGGAATGGAAATCGATGGGATCCCTTAACGTTACAAAATAAGAACAATCGTGGATCGTGCTAAACGAATCGCGATTTACTCATGTGCCCGTCCTCGGGCACGTGAGTAAATCACGATTCACGACTAATTAATTAAAATTCTCCAAATAAATTAAAAGTAAGTTTCCCCAGAAGGAAAAATGGAGTAAATTTTCGAAGACGATTTCCTGACGTTGTCACGACGCGATCCTCGCGATATCCTCGTGCCTAATGAGTTCGCAGGAATAATGGAAAAACGATATTATTTCTTTTCCCGCTCATTCGTCATTCAGTGGTGTTAGTGTAACGGGTAGACGAGATTGACGGTGGAATGATTCCTTTTGATCTATGTAGCTCTAAGACATGTCAAAAGGAATCGACGTTCGTCCGGAGAACCAGCTCATTAAAGGATTATCATCGATGTGGGTTCGTCCAGTCATCCAGATACTCATCGTTCGATATGCCGTTATATGGACTAATGGGAAGGAATACTATATAAACTCGACCTCGAACTTGACGAGAGGAGGAGGTGAGAGGACAAAGAGTGTTCCAGACTTGCTTTGAACTACTTCAGCAAGGTCTCGCCGGCGTCACTTTGATGGTTCATGGAAACTAATTATGCCCCCACTTTCTTTTCTATCTCTGTCGTTTTTCTGTGGCCATTCTGTCAATGAGAAACGCTAATGGAGACTGAGGATGAGATGATCCGGAGATAAGTTGCTGGGGATTATCTCTCCCTCGCCCTATTTCAGTCACACGACTCTCAAGGATTTCCAGGAGTGATAAACGCCAACGCACATTTCTCCGATGATGCTGATTCCAGTTAGGAATTAGGGACATGAACGTTGCTATTTCGTCCGTGGGACCTCGGATGGACTGAGTAATAGCCGTGGTATTACCCATACCCGAGGTAAAATTTCGCTTTCTGTATGTATTCTAAGCCGGGACATGGCGATTTTCATCTCTATAACCGAGTTTTTGTTATGACCCAGTTCGACTGCATATCCGTACGATACAATGCAAGGTGGAAACGACGCATGGCTCTGGAATGCGCATTCAGAATATTGCCGTGACAGGGCCGTTCCGTGTGTTCATCTGAGAACTAGGAAAAGCTCGATCCAGTCTGAAAACAACTGCTCAATCAGGATAGTATGGGAGAGAGAGAGGGAGAGGAAGAGAGAGAGAGGGAGGGAGAGAGGGAGAGGGGGAGAGAGAGAGAGATGGAGAGAGAGAGAGGGGGAGAGAGAGACTGTGCTGCCACATTGCAAAGTTTTTTTGACTAGATCGTTCAAGGTGTGAATGAGATAGGTAAGGGTTGAGGGATAGATTCAGAGAAAGAGGGCATTAGTCTATATTTAGAATTATTGTGAATAAAAAAAAATTAAGTTTCCAAGGCAATTAGCTGGTCTTGCAGCCATTTATAGTGCGAAGTTTGAGACGTCCGTAGTTCGTAGGGAAAAGTGCCCTTCGAAGTAAGTGAACGCGTTTCTGAGTTCATAGCTGACGGGACCAGAAAATGCCTTCGAATTTCATAGTATCCGTATTTCGAATTATCCATACTATGAAGCATACAAATCGCTATCCTCTCGGACGGGGAACGTAGATGACTTCGATGTGTCCGATACTTCGAATTATCCGATACTGAATTAACGAGGTTTTCCTGTATGGCTAGACCTTTCGGGCGTTCTTGTGACATGCTTGATCTCGGATAAGTTATAAATTGTTTCGGTTCGGAGACGTTTCTTTCGGCAGAAGCAACTCACTGAAGCTATGAGTAGGACTCCTAGAGCGATGGACGCGCTGGGACACACGGGCCTGACTACACCTGTGAAAGAATCGCGGAGTTCCAAGCGCACCAAGTGACTCTTGATGCGCTTGGAAACATTGCATTTCTATAACTGCTAGAATAGAAACTAAATTTCAGAATGATACCATTGCCAAAATAATGTAAAAATTATTCATTAGATGCAGGATTGTTTATTCTTTCCAATGGTGAACAAAGCATCTCAATTGGATTAAGCATTGGGGAGTTATCAGCATTCAAAAGTTGAGCAGGACTTTTGACTCACCCTGTATAGGCCTATGAATCGGCCGTGCTGCGGCCCTAGTAGCATGTCACATTGAATTAACATTAACTCAACGTTGGTTCAACTTGCGGATGTTGCATCAGCATTGAATCAATGTTATTTCAATGTTATATGCTACTAGGGAGACATGGACGTCAGTATGTGGAAAAAAGTGCTTTTGACGCACAATTTGAACTTTTTTGGCAATTTTATCATAACTCGGTTCAAATCGACCGTGACTTAGCGTTTCGGCTTAACCAAGTCATAGTTGCATTAATGCTTCACCAATACCTCCGGGATTATATAACCTCAGATGTTGCTTCATCTGAAGCTCCCACTTTGTCTGAGTGTCTAGCTCCCACTGTCATTAAGGGATAAAACCAAAGTCTTTTTCAATGATGAACATGAAAAAGTGCCATGCTAATAGACTCAGTTTCCTCTGACGCCCACAATAGTAAGCGTGGGTTGCGTCATGGAAAAGAGCCTATTGTATCCAAACCTGCTTCAATGTCTTAAGGTTTATTCACAGCAGACACCCTGCGAAAAATCGGCAATGAACAAGTCTTTTTGAGCAGGAAAATATGATCAAGAAGGTATATATTATTCGTTAGCTACAGGATTAGGAGAGGTAAGAGGAAAAAGGGCGAACTGAATCAAAGAAAAGACAATATATGAGAGCAATAAATGATGGTCGTGGTTATTCATGGTGCAGGAACTGGTGCGAGACATATCGCCACGCACGTTGCAGCACAACCGGCACACCATATTCCTCCTGCTGCCATCAAGCAGGCGGCAAGCAATGGGGGGACGAGCGCGACAGTTGCACAAGAGCACGTGACTGCTGCTCCACATTGAGCGGCTGCCCATGTGACACAGCCTGAACAGGTCAAAGGACCAGCAGCAGAAGCTTGAGGCAAGAGATGACTGACGACAAGGGCAGCGAAGACAAGGCCAACAGCTTTGATCTTGGCATTGGGATCAGCCGCGGTCTTAATTGATTGCCCCTTCACGTAATCCATCCATTTCTGACGGAACATTCTCGCAGAAGGCAACGTTGAATCTGGATTTAATAAATAAATCCTGAGGTCTATCCACAGAAGAACCTAACCTAGGAAGGAAAAATGAGTGAACATTTTGCGGTCCGAATGTTCGAACAAATGATAAAATAGAAGAATCCTCAAGTCTAAGGTGTGGAAACCCCAGAATCATGTTCTCCGTTTGGAGATGTGGGATTCCATGAGGAGTGAAGCGTCAGATGGCGCGACTGATAACCTGCCATCAATATTTAAAAATTTTTAAGCTCGTCATCTTTGCACGGATCAAACATTGGTTTCTTATAATTTTATTGGATAGCTGAACCTAGCCTA